CCATCAAACCCGCTTTGCACGACTGATCGACATTCCAAATTTAGGGCACTTTATTGCACACACACGCACACCTTCTACCACCCCCTCCTTCTACCGCCGTCCCCTCGAGAGGGATAGGGATCGTAAAATGCAATTCCTCCTCCTTCTCCTCCTCGTCGTCGTCGTTCGCGAAGTTCTGCCAATCAACTGAACACGTTCACATAGGCACACGTACACACTTGGTAGACCACACGCGCGACCGTCTGTGGATCGACAGAATTATTCAGAGAGAATAAACGTGTGGTCAACGAATTGATGTTAGAGCGGTCGCGATTGTTTATCACTAAATCTCGTAGATTTTAGCACTTGTGTCTGTTTGAAGCATAGACCGATCGGGAGTTCACTGATGCGCTATTGATGGGTCAAAAACGTGGTCAGGGCCAAATCTTCCAATATCGACCGCGGTTATTATTTTATTCTGCTTTATTTTTGACCAAACAGTTTATTTTAAATGTTAAAGACAGGGAGAGGTAGAAAAAATGAATTCGGAGTCAATTGACCGAATTCCGAATCTTGCCAATCTTCCGAAGCCAGAGCGACCAGATTTGATCAGTTCCTTGAGGTGGAACAGTAGTGATAAATAGTAAAAGAACAGAGTAAAATGCTAGAAGAATATGTTGTTGAGTAGCGATCTAAATTAGACACGCTGTGAACCTAAACTAACCAATTATTTAAAATGTGTCAATGTAAACCTGTTAGACCGCTTGTCTTGGCATCTTGAACCAGTTCTCATTTTGTTATAAATTAATTACTGATGGTTGTCATCCAATGATAACATCTTGAATGGATATTATCCACTTGGATTCTAACTTCCAACTTATTCATTAGCGTTAATTGTTGTTTGTGAAGGATTCATTTTCAGTTCATGCGGTTAGCGCAAAACTATCAAACAATTTTGTTTTGCACAGAAGCTGCGTTTATCACCATCTTGCCAGTACTTTCATATCGTAACAGCTTCCGTATAACAAATGTTTGTTTATTTTGTTTATCACTATTGTAATGTAGCTTATATGAGTCCAAAATCATCGGTATACATTTACACCATTCTTAGTTCTGGCTTTCAGTCCTCAACAGTTCACTTTAACTTTGCTTTTATGAAGCCGGCGTTTTTAAATTTCTAGATACCAAACAACAGCTTTTAGGTTCGAATTCCTTCGGGCTCGCAGAAGCAGAGCAAACACGGATCGCGGGTCCCAAGGTCAACTCGTTGTAATCTCATTTCCCGCAACACCATGCGTACGTGGCCTAGATATATCTGAACAGTAGTAATTTTTGGTCGAGCATGTAACTCTAAATGATGGTTCATCATTAAAGAAAATGCCCGGTACTTCAGGACTTTCTCTGTATGGTTGACTGAAGTTTACAGATGGGGTACTATTACATTATCAATAATTACCCTCTGGAACCGTTTCCGTAAGTGAAACTTTCTTTTGCGAAAATATATAGATTCTTGTATGACTAGTAACTATCACCATTGTTCTTTGACTTTATTAGTGAGGATTCAATGTGCCGTCTAACAATAATAATTTACTTATCTGCTTGGTTCTTATACTTACTGGTACGCACAGCGAAAACCTTTTAGTTCTCCTTGGAATTATCCCAAAATCATATGCTGTTCTCAAGATCGATCAGGCTACAACAGTACCAGACGGTATTCGCGGAAAACTGGAACCAGATTAATTGTTATATTTAACGCCTAACACAAATATTTTATTAATTAGTGATGAACACTATGTTTATCGACTGAAGAGCAATGGTTCTTAAAATAAATTTTCCGGACTAGAAATACACGTGGCTGGAAACGACGATTATTCTATGAACGAAACTGTTCTCCTCGGAAATCACCGTTGACCCCACATTGACAAACTGGAGACAACGACAGCCACATTTCTTTGTCACTTCTCGAAGTTCCCAGAAAACGACGACACGAAATGGAATAACTCAGATTATAGATTTTACCAAACTGTGTAACAGTTAGAGATCATATGGAACCAGTGTTTTAAATGAAATTCATTATGGTGATGTAGGCGTCTGCGGATCTGAAGATTTAACCCTGCCACGAATAAACGACTAGTTGACAATAAACTCTTCTGTTGTCCAGCCCAATATGCCGCCTATCCTTGTATTTCCCGGGTATCATAAGTGAGGAGTGAATTCTCACGACTGTGGGGTGTATTTACTCCAAAATGAGAACTGTTAATAATGGCTGGCCAAATGTGTGCACTATCTGTCGGAAACTTGAAAAGAGGTTACTTAATAACAATATGAGTTGTTCAAGCGTTGCAACATTTTAAAATATGCTTTCATGGGAATTCCATGTTTTCCAAAAGGATTACTCATGTTCAAACTATATATCATGTATAATGTTTAATGTCGATACAAATGGAACAAATTTAGGAATTCCATATCGGTTGGTTTCAATCCGTGACAAAACATTTACGTTATATTTGGTCCTCCTGAAATGTTCTTTGAGGTGAATTTTATTTTTATCACAAGCAAAGATAGGTCATTCGTTCACGAAACTGTTTTTTAATGCAGTCATACATTTGACATCTATCGATACACTGTGATTTACTAAGGAGGATACTATGCAAAGTGATCACCATTACAAATTCAGACGACAGAAAACGGACGATGTTTAAATCCAAATGTGTGTAGTGTAACATTTGTCCTCCTGCAAACGAATGAGCACTACGGGAGACACTATATGGCAAATTTGTTACAATGTAAGCCACTCCAGGAAACTACTTCCAGAGATACTGGTAGCTAATTTATCTCTTTGTAATCACGTGTATCAGTCTTGCCACTCAAAGGATTGTAAAATTTCAGTTTCGTTCACTTTCACTGTGACTACATTCATAGTTTTATAATACATGATATTACATCGTAAATTTGCTCTCCGTATCTTGATGAGGAACTTATTTTCTGTCTCTCTACATCTGGAAGTTTATCCAAATTAGAGGTTAATGCAGTACAGGTTAAATCTTGCAATATGAAATAGTGTTACAGTACTGGTCGATTGTGATGCACTGAAATATTTTCTCTATGACCTAGTGAAGTTCCATCATATATATTCCTTGTTTTAATGCTTTATGTTTGGAAAATAATTTATTTCTTGTCTACTGGGATCTAAGCAGTTTCTAGGCTGCATAATTGTCAATTAAACGCAGATCAGTCGATTATTAGTGTACATAAACTTTACATCTTAGTTATTATCAATGCTGATTTGTTGTAAATAAAATATTTTTTATCCCCTTAAATTACCTCCTAACTCGTCATGCTGTAGGTCAACCACTACTGATGAAATGGGATTATCCTGTACATTGTGAGTTATTCCATCTCCTGAGTATAAGCGAATCAGGAAACTCAATGCTATAAAGACTCATCGAGGCTTGTTTGTTATTATTTGGAAAAAAATTTAGTCTAGTACAAATACTGTTGCCTATACGAACATACAAGTGTTTCACAGGGACCTGTTGCTCCAGTTTCGATTAGACCTGTATATCCGCGAATTTAATAATAATACACAAACATAATTATCACTGAGTAAATGAAATGCAACAATGCAGGCTCTCTAGTTATCTATCACCTTTTGCAATATGTACTTTTTTTGTCGCTATCGTTCACTTCTTATGTACAGGACTCTGGTCCACGAATCATTGAAGTATACTTGGCAGTCACCGAATAGATTATGGCAAAAAATCCGTGTCTAATATTCGTTAATTATTGCAGAATAAGTTTCGTTTATTACGAATGGCTGCAGTTGATATTGTGTGAAGGTGTCAACCATAAACACCATCATCAACACCAAACCCTTTCCTATTTGGAAGTGACACGGTATAAGAGAACTTATCTTCATGAGTTTGTTACGAGTATCGGTCCTCGCTCATCTCAGTACTAGTCTCCAGGGTTATGACTCGATTGAAAACTCTCACAACCTAATCAACTGGGTAGTATGCTTGCGTTCTACCTGTGAGAGCCCGGGTTCTATTGCGTTGATGGATTTGACCTGCTGATGAAGCCCAACCAGGTGGAAACAGCTGTCCGGTGCTTCGCAGCTTTTCAGCTCACGCCTCATTTACACGACAAGTTCATCAATTAAAAATCCTCCATCACTCCTATTATTTGATTATCAAATCTCCCATTAACTATTTGCTCTGCCTTTATCGACAACTCTCATCT